ATAAAACATTTTTAAATAAAAACCAAAGTCGGTTAAGTGTTCAAATTAATTCTCTAAGAAAGGGTTTAGGCATCTTAGAGAATTCACTAACACATAGTTGACCGACGAATTTAAAAGTTGGCTAATTTTTTTAAAAAAACTTAAGATTACTTGAAAATTCTTATTTTGAAAATAACAAGAGTTTTTTTATACTTATACACTCATCTTATTCCGAGCAATGAAATAAGTCAAATGTTAAAGTGCCAAAACAATAATTTTAACTTAACATTTTGTCCGAGTCAAGTTTTTAAGTCAAAAAATCAACACAATAACTTAAACGTGGATTTGAAAGCTAAATACTAACTATGAAAGAATATGAATAATTCTCAAGTTAGTGTTAAAGCTTAGATTGCCTACCTTAAAAGAGTTTGAAAATTTAAATACTTAAAGCAAAATGAATAATAAAATAGAAAACTTCCTAGGGATTCATCTAAATTAACAAAATAAATGTTAGAAGCTAAAAACGATTATCACAAAATCACAATATAATGAAAATAAAAGTGTGAATAGAACTTGAACAATTTTAAGTCCACTTGTTGCTTCTTATTTGCTGCTGCGCTCAAATTGGACTTTTTAAAGTCCAATTTTTTATTTTCCAACCCTTTGGGCTACTGTTGATGCTGCTGAGTTCAAATTGGACTCTTTTAAGTCCCATTTTTAATTTTCTAGCCCTTTAGACTACTGCTACTGCTGTCTTCTTGAGTTTTAACCCAATAACATTAACTTCCTTTCAACGGCTTGGAGGTAGACTCGAAAAGAGAGGAGCATGCAAGGGAGCGAGGAGTCCAATTGAACTCGGACAAGAAGGTTCATGTAAAAGAAAGAAAGATAATAATTAGCATGAGTCTAAGTATAGTCTGATGAACTAAACGATATCAAATAACACTAAATATTGACTTAAACAAACTAGAATAAGCAAACACTTAGGCAGGAACCGAAGAAGAGAATAATTAACAAGTGTTGAAGTTAATGACTCAAATCACATGAAGCAAGGACCTGAATTCTGTAGCATATCAATACTTGACCAAGAAATTGATAACTGGGACAAATTTAACAAGTTTAAGAGGAATTTAACTAAAATAAGCACAACCATGATGAACCTGGAAAGATATCACTTTTTGAGACTTTTAAAAAACTAAAATAAAATGTTACTCCTAAATTGAATAAAATTAATAAAGTTCAATTACATATTCATCTTTAATACCACCAAATTTTGATTCAATCTTGTCCTCTAACATCAAGAACTTTTTTTAAAAAATTAGCAGCCAACAAATTCAAGTTCGGATCAACTTAATGAACTAAAACATTATGCTAGCCACCGAAAGTCCATTCTAGAAAACAAATTCGCTAAGCCAAGGAGAACAAATCTCTTCTAAAAGAGGATAATTGCACACCAGTTGATATTAAATAGCCCTTTAACACATAAGAGAGCAAACAAATAAACACACTCTAAGGTGTTGAGATCACATAATCAAAATGGAGTGGAATATTGGATTTAAAGAACTCATTAAACTAGAGCAGCTAATGTAATGCTATCTAATGCATATTGGAAAGGATAAAAACAATCAGAATGCAAAGTTTAACTAACCAAGCCTAATGCTAGACTGGTTATACGAACAAAGTTTGACCGAGCTGATTTTTTGATAAACGGCTTTTAACCCATTCAATTTTGAATTTCCCCCAATTTTGAAGAAAATTGTCATTCTTTATTGCTAAGAATCTGATAAAACAAAATATATTTTTGAGTTCGACATACCTTGGTAATGCATATGTGAATGTCAATTTTAATGCTAGATAATCAATTTTCTGATAAACAGCTTTTATCCCAGCTTTTACGATTTAGAGTTTAGGATTTAGGGTTTAATATTTAGGGTTTAGGGTTGGGGTTTTGGGTTCGCGGGCTAGGGTTCAAGGTTTAGGGTTAGTTTTTTTTTTTTTAGGGTTTAGGATTTAGGGTTTAGGGTTGAAGATTTAGGTTTTAGGTTTGGGGTTTTGGGTTCACGAGTCGGGGTTCGGGGTTTAGGGTTTATGGTTTAGAGTTAGGATTTTTTTTTAGGGTTTAGGGATCGGGGTTCAGGGCTTAGGGTTTAGGGTTAGGTTTGTTTTTTTAGGGTTTAGGGTTTAGGGTTTAAGATTTATAGGGTTAGGATTTAGGGTTTGGGGTTTGGGGTTCGGGGTTTTAGGTTTGCAGGCCGGGGTTCGGGGTTTAGGATTAGGTTTTTTTTTAGGGTTTAGAGTTTTGGTTTAGGGTTTAATATTTAGGGTTTAGGGTTCAGGGTTCGGGATTTTGGGTTCACAGGTTAGGGTTCAGGGTTTAGGGTTTAAGGTTAGGTTTTTTTTGTAGGGTTTAGGGTTTAGGGTTTAAGGTTTAGGGTTTAGGGTTTGGGGTTCAGGGTTTTGGGTTCGCGGGCTGGGGTTCAGGGTTTAGGTTTAGTTTTTTTTTATTAGGGTTTAGGGTTTAAGGTTTAGGGTTCGGGTTTAGTTTTTTTTATTTAGGTTTAAGGGTTTAGGGTTTAGGATTTAGGGTTTAGGGTTCGCAGGCCAGGGTTCAAGGTTAGTTTTTTTTTTTAGGCTTTAGGGTTTAGAGTTAGGTTTTTTTTAGGCTTTAGGAGGGAGGATATAGGGGGTAGGAGGAGGGGATAAAGTGGAGGAGGGTAGGAGGGGTCGCGGGGAAGGTGCCTCGGAGGGAGGGGTGAGGGGGTAGGGGTAGTACCTCTGGGAGAGAGGGGTG